TAGTGGTGCTTTAAACTGTAATGGTTCAGAGCTACAGAAAAATACAAACAAGTGTTAGATTCAAACTTATCTTAGAAAATACATGTAGATTCAGATGTAACACTTTTTTTTTTAATTTGCTTTAATTCCACAATTCCTAAAGATGAGGACTCTCACATTGCAATAAACCATTTATTGAATGTAAAACGGGACAAACAAAGGTTATTGTACTCGAGTCAAACATTGTGTAAGATTAAACCAATTATTTTTTTTTGGTATTTTCTTGTTCAATACAAATGTGATATACAGGATGGTAAATTTTGATGAAGCAAGGTTTTCTTAACACTAATTTTGTTTGGAGCCTTTGACATGTTAAGTAATATCAGAGGTACATTACTTGGGGTTTGTAACTACGGTGACATGATACCAAGATCCCGTCACAATCTCGCTCTCGCATAAGCGTTCCAACTCAGAAAAATGCGAATGCGCATGCCCGAGGTAACTAGGATACTGGGATGTCCAGGTGGATCAAAATAGCTGCCCACGATATGACGGATTACGAGAACTATATTTTCTGTACATTTTCGATGTATTACATTTTTCACTATGATAGTGACAAGAAAAGTTTTATTTTTTCATTACAAACCTTGAACATTGATATGTGTCATGTCAGAAGGTCGTAGCCTCAGTCTCGTTACGAGATGAGACTTGAATGGGATCTTGACATGATGTCACCATACAGTACTATGCAAGTTGCAAACCCCAAGTAATGTACCTCTGGTTATATGTATAGTGTAATAAATGCAACAGCTACAGGATTCGCATGACATTTAACTTGCCAGAAGCTGAACATAACAGAGCAATTCCATTGACATTGAGTTCTCAACATGTTAGGATGACATAAATTCACTGAATTACACAGAGGATTATAAATCAAAGCTGGACTGTATCACAAAAACAGTATTTGATGTGAATCATTTTCAATTAAGATTATTAATCTGAGTATCTATATAGCTATTACAAAATTATAGCACAGTCTCTGTTAGTTATCAAATTTAAGATTTAAAGTTTACAGTTATTGTGTGAAAATAAACATGTCGGAGATATTGATCTAGAAGCTGATACTTGATTATGATGATTTTTTAAACATTAATTTTTAGCATACATATTGTATGTCAGAAATACTTGGTTTTTGATGATTTTTTAGCACAAAAATGGCCACCATTCAGCCATTTTGAATCAGATCATCAAACCAATACATCTGTATATCTGATATGATGTATAATGAATATACAAAATTTGAACATAATCAGTCACAGCATGTCAGAGATATGGCACTTATGCCGCATTCATCAAAACAAAATGGCCACCAGTCAGACATATTTAATCCAATCTGAGAAAAAAAGATGTGTATGTCCCAAGTTTAAACAAAATCCATTTGTAAGCAGCTGAGAAATGCTTGATTTCAATGATTTTCCAGCACATAAAATGGCTGCCATTCGGCCATCATCATTTAAATTGAAAGAGCCTTTAAAATCTCCCTACTGTTGGTGGCTATTAAACCGAGCATAGCCATGCTTGGTGTATCACCCATTCATTGTAGGGTCACCTCTTGCATAATGATTACATGAATTCAGATTTGAATCAATCCACTGTGGCAGTGCAAGTGAAAATCATTGCGAAGTACTAAAGTAGGTTTTTTGCCAAAAGACTAAATCTTACATACCTTTGCAAAGTTGCATGTCTTGACAACACTATACTTATAGGACCAATAACTTTGGCAATTTCCTTCAGTATATCAGCATTGCTGTCTTTCACCAGATCACTATGAGAGAAAAGAGAATGTACTGTCTATGGTTAAAGGTACAATCATCAAAGAGACGATGACAGTGTCAAGATAAACATCAACTTGATCTTTCAAAATTGCTGAGTCATAGTATCCATATAGCTCTTTTTAGTTCCATGGTATGAAAAAAGTCTCTGTATCATTTCATTGTAAGATTACAAAAAAAAATTATGTGCACAGTTGGATATTTTTGTCAGATCTTTTAAAACATAAAAATAGTGTGCATTCAGGTCCCATGATAAGTACCTAGTTTGAATGGTAACCATTCATGCATACTCAGATCTGATTCCAGCATAGTAGAAATACTTGATTTTGTTACATTTTAGCAACTAAATAGTTTTCTTTAAATCATTACCAGTACTCAGTAAATGTTGTATATTTGCAAGAACTTTTTACCCAGATTTCTTGCATATGTCATTTATGACATAAAATACAGACTGAAGATTACAGCCTTACATTAGATGCGGAAGTAAACTAATCTGTAAAATATTTGTCTCATTCTCCCATACAACATTGCAATATTCCTAAGAACATTCCCATCAGTATTAGTTTTGACTTTCAATCCCAGCAAGCCTGGACACAACTATTTTCAAATGGGATTTATGAATTTGGATTTGAAGTCAGATTTTGAGTGCAAAAAATATGTGAATTATGAAACGGTGAATTTACAACTTCATTTCAAATTTGAGCACTCTCATCTACATGTAATACATTACAAGTATGGAGATTAGTATTCCTAATTTTCAACATTTGAATACAAAGTCGAAATGAAAATTGCTGGAAATGTTCCCAGGAATGTAACAACGTTGCAAAAGAGATTGATAGTGAGATGGTGGTTTTCCTGATCAGTTTATTTCGTTCCCCGTTGTAAGCAGGTTAGTTGAATATCCAACTTACTGTAAATGGTCTCTTATCAGATGATGAGAGTTTATTCCCAGAGTATACAGTAGAACAGCAAATGATTGAATAATGGCTAACCTCACAACATCTACACTACCTCCCTGTATAAAGAAAAGCACTTGTATACATTTTTTATAATGCTAAGATATTTTTTTTTGATACACCAGCAGACACAAGTGATTATCCCCACAGTTATTTATTACGGCAATAATCATTGTTACCAGTAGTGTGGAGGTAGTCACTGCATCTGCTGAAGCCAAAACTAAGAGAAAACATCATTGGATTTTACATCATATTCATATCTATGTTTAAAATAAGCATTGGTAATCGGCAAGTATGGCAACTGGTATGAGAAAAGGTCCAGTTTATGTAACAACACACTATA